AGCAGCTGAGGTTAAAGTTTTAAAACCAGTTGTTTTACTTGCTTCTAAAGACAAATGATGATTATCTCCGTGACTGACGGCGCAGCACTCTGTGAATGTGTGAGTTCTCACCATGGGGATGAAGCGGCAGGAGCTGACCGAGTCGTTGAGGCCCATCCAGTGCTGGAAGTCGGGGTACTCGCCCTTCCTCAGGTAGTACTGGTTCCCGGTGTAGTTGGGCTTTTCGTAGATCATGAAGCAGCCGCTCTCCACCCGGATGGAGCTGCAGCGACTCAGCTGGCACATCAGGTCCGAGCAGTCGTGGCTGCACTCAAACTGTCGCCCGGAGAAGTTCTTGTCCTCGTAGAAGATCACCTGAAACCACACGGGTCACTGATCACGCTGCAAGAGCTGCTCAACACAAACAAGCAACCACATTAATCCACCGTTCAGCCGCTTCTTTCTCTTTTAATCTGAAAACACAGAGCTCAAGAAGACCCTAGAGGCCTTTTTATTTCACAATAAAAGCCTTTTCCCGTCCCACAGCAGCCCGGTGAGTGTTTACCTTCCCCATGTCGGCTGCCCTGTGATCCATCCAGCTCTTTGAAGACTCCACCTGTCACATATATAGTGAATGTGAAGTGCAGACTCTGCATGTGTCATTCATATTGTAATCGGCAGGAATCTTTGGCGTTTGTGCCGCCTGAAGAGAAGTCGTGTTTGTACAGGTGAGAGCTGACACATCTGCTGTTTTCACTTTTACTCGTGAAATGCTTCAGCGGTCCGTCACAGAAGCCCATGAGGAGGATTTCCAGCGTCAGAGGAGCTCCTGGTGAGGATTGTTTTTTACATTCACTCCTGTAAAAACTCACATTATCAAACCCAGGTGGCGTTTTTCAGCCGCACATAAACTACAGATCATTTTATTCTGTTGACGATGTTCAGGTTCATCATTTGTAAGCTGTAATGTCAAACTCTGTCTTTAGTTTAGTGTTTAGAACAAATGGGAATGAGTGTTTTTTGTGCTTGGCCTCAAGGTATCTTTAATGTGAACTGTGCCGCTGCCCTCTGGTGGAAAGGCTCATTCATGTCCTGATAAACACACACAGCTGGAAATAAAATACACTAACATGTGCCGTCATTTCTTCAATATCTGCTCTGATCAAAACAAATCTGAAGGTGGAGAAAGCTGTGTGATAGTGTTCAACAAGTGGCTCTTCTGAAGCTTTCTTTTTTTTAATTAATATACTTTAGTATCGTAGAGTCAAAGTAAAATATATCCAGTAATTCCTAGAACTTAAAAGATACCACATATGTATATAAACAGTCACATTTCAGTGACTAGAACTGCAGATGAAGGTCATGTCATGTGATCAAAAGCTCCAAGACAGACACTAAGTGGCTCATTTACAAGGTTCACAATAAACCTGCTCTGTGTGGAAGGTGCAGCTCTACAACAGACAACACAGCCGTGGTTGCGTTCAGTGTTTTATTCAGTCCTCTGATCACAGTCAGGACGTCAGGCCACAGTGATGTCACGTCCTCCCAGGAAAACATGGCCTCCAGACGCAGAGAGCAAGAACAGAACCGAAGACACCGGAGCACTGACGCCATTTTATTCAGCGAGTGAAACAAGGCAAAGAGCAGACATTTGACAAGAACCGTCGTCGTCGGGCTTTAGAGGTCCATGAGACGCCTGGCCGAGCCGATCCTGGAGCTGCTGGCGTTCCAGTCGCCGAAGCTGCGGAACTGCCCGGGCCTCAGGTAGTAGTGGCGCCCCCTGTAGCCGGGCTGCTCGTACAGCAGCCAGTGGCCGTCCACGTGGCACGAGTTGAAGTTGGAGATGCGGAATCGGTCCATGAGGTTGGGACAGTCGTCGGTCAGCTCCATCATCTCACCGGCCATGTCGAAGTGCTCGTACAGCCTCATCCTGAAGCTGCCGCTGTACTGCAGGGGTCAGAGGTCAGAGGTCATGGGGTCAAAGGTCAGAGGCAAAAATCAGGGTCATTAGGTCAGAGGTCAACCAGAGGACGATGCCATTTGCATTTTTATAAAGAAATAGTGTCATAGTTTGGAAAAGACACCTAACTATGACAACATTTATTCTGTACACATCTGAATTAGCTTCATTTAGCTACTTAGCCTAGCTTAGCATCAAGACTGGAAACAAGTGGGGAGCAGCTAGCATGGATCTGTCCCAATTCAATTCAAATAACTTTATTTACAGTTCAAAATGAATTGGTAAGGCAGTTAGAAACAGCTCACGGCTCATGAAACAGGCCGTTTCTGGTTTTAAAAAAAGTATAACCAGTGAACTTTACACACGGACTCCGGCTACCTGTTCCATTGCTTCCTGTCTTTGTGCTAAGCTATGCTAACTAGCTGCCGGTCGTAGCTGTAAATAAACACAGTAAAAGATTTTTTTTTAAAGGCTTAAATATACGTTCATTAATATGTATTTTATTATAGCTGCAATTTTACACACGATCATGTCGATTTTTGGGGATTCTTAATGTTGAGTAAAGGATGTTTAAATAACCTACTATATATATCCATAGTTATCAATGGATAGAATGATAAATGATATATTCAATGATATAGTACCAATACTTATAGATATTATATACTGATAAAAACACATTTTTGATGTTAAAATGTCTATTAAACAAACAAATCTGTCTATCTAGTATGTACAGAGCTTGTACTAGTTTTCTGTTTGTGGTGACGAATTGTATCTCATTTTAGAAACATATTTAATATTAAAATAAAATATAATTAGTTTAAAAAAATATGTGTAATATTTAATTTACCACTTTCATATATTAAAACCAAATAAGTTGTTTGTGAAATTATTATAAATTTGTATTTTAACAATCTTTTTTATTTTCTTTACCAGAAGGTTAATTTTATGTCGTTCCAGGTGTTTAATCTCTCACGAAACCTATAGAATAAAAATGAAAACGCTGTAAAATTACAGAACTAAAGCTGCTTTTTCTGTTAATTGTTATTAGTTGTGCTTAGTTTAAAAATATAAATATTTACAGTATTAAATTTAAATTCAGCGTCTTTGAAATAAAAAGGAAATAATTCAGAAATTAGGAAAAATGAGCAAATAAACTTCATTTTCATGTTCTCCTACGACATCTTTGTGCATTTTAAAACACATAAACCTGTTGTTTCTACATGTGAAATGGTTTTATTTTATATATTAACGAGCTGCTAATCTGCAAACTGGAGGGCATCTGATTAAATGCTCCTGAACAGAAAGCTCCGATGAGGTTTCACTGCCTACATTTGTTTATTCTGTTTGAACCTGACCAGTCGAGGTCGACGTCTTGAACCTGGTTCCCCCCAAAGAGCTGCTCAGAGGGAACCCCGGTGTTTGTTCTCTGTTTAATGTGAGTTGCTGCTAAAGCACCGCGGTCTTACCGGGGGGATCATGCGGCAGGACCGGACGCAGTCGTTCATGCTGGTCATGCTCATGTAATCCGAGTACTCTCCCCTCCTCATGAAGAACTGGTTCCCGGTGAAGCCCGGCCGGTCGTACACCATGAACATGCCGTTCTCCACCCGGATGGACCTGCAGCGGTCGAACATCGAGTGCAGGTCGGCGCAGTCGCTCATGCACTCGTAGTGACGGCCGCCGAAGTTCCTGTCCTCGTAGAAGATGATCTGATGGAGCAGGAACGACATGAGACACGACTCTACTGATCCCACAGGGGGATGTTTACAGCAATACAGAAGTTAAAACACAAACCAGAATACACACAAGTAGTAGTTCTAGCAGTAGCAGTACTGTACGTGTCAGTGGTGGTACACAGACAGCTCCATGCTCACAGCACTAAACCAGCAGCAGAACCACAACCAGAACAACTTAAAGAGAGAGAAACAGAAGCTGCTGGAGCTACATGGTGTATATTCATGTGTATTTCTTGTTTATTTCTATGTTCTAACACAGGCTGTCCTGATTGAACTCATCTCCTCTTGGCGTCCACCAACAACACCGACCTTCCCCATGATGCCGCCGCCGTCGCTCACAGAGCCTCCTGTGCTCCTGAAAGGTGGCGTCCATCTTTATACACTGCGGACTGTTGTTATTCTAATGAGGCTGGTGTCAGCAGAGACGCTACAGGAGTCTTCTTCTGTTGTTCCCTCTGTGCAGCTTCCAGCAGCGACCACGGCGGAGCTGAGCTCTTCTGTTTGTTTAAATGGGCTGGATTCAGTGCATTCAGAGGAAACACCAGCAGACAGCAGACACGAACTACTGGGTGTGGAGAATGTTTGTGATGTTTTGAAAGCAAAAAATCAAGCGTCTGATGCCTGAAGTCACCCAGTCTGATGAACTGGAGTCTCTTCTTCTGGTTCTTCTGCTGTTCTCCGGTTGGTACTGAGCTGTGAAGGCCGTGGTGTTCTGATGGAGGGAGAACATCAGCTCTGCACACTGGAGTTAAAAACGTTACTCGTTGTGTCTGAACTTTCCTTCACATAAATAAAAACCTGTTCATCATAAGCTGATGTGGCAAACCAAAGACTCCCCTTTAAGACTTTGAGGCCGTAGATTTCCGACACGTGAATAAACAAAGATGTTCAGCGGACGTGTGAGCGTAGCAGGAAATTAACTTAAAGAAAAACATCCACAACCTCAGCAACAGACGACAACATCGGTCTCAATGGATCAGAGGTACGTAAAGCTAGAAATAAATCTCTGTCTCCATCGTCGACTCCTTTTCTCATCAGGACATTAGATGGTGAATAAATAGGAGCCAATCAGGGGCTCCGAGGTTCTTTTTTTTTTTGGCCTTTGTTCGATAGGAAAGTTAAGAGAGAGACGGGGACGTGGGGGAGAAGGACCTGCAGGAAAGGGTCATGAGCGGGACTTGAACCTGTGACCTCTGCGACTAGAGCCCCTGAACATGTGACACCAGGTGACCTATAGCAGTGTGTAAACAAAGCAAAGAGTAACTGGCAGCAGCTCCAGGAGGCTGTTTGGGTGGAAACGTGTGCAACATCAGTATTTTTCTGCTTGTAGACAAACCTGAGCAGCATCAGTACGTCTCCATCAGTATTTATACTCAGTAAAACCACTGATATGTGTAATATTGTTGTTTCCATCCAGAGGGATTTACACAGTCTGAAGCAGCACTTGTGTTTATTTTAGTTTATTTTTCTGTCCTCGTTGCTGCTGCTTCAAATTTCTCCACCGTGGGATTCATAAAGTCTCGTCTGATGGCACCACAATGTCCAAAATGACTCAGGATGTGTCCAGAATAACACAAATCCTATCAGATGTTACACCAGTTACTGCAAAATGCTTCAAAGTTCGTCTGAAATCAACACGACGCGAAATTAGTCCAAAATGGCACAAATCTGCTCAAATAATTTATATATATATTTGTCCAAAATGCTAAAAAGCTAAAACAAAATGACTTCATACTCATCATGGAAGACTCTGTGCTGTATATTAAATGTTGTTGTTTCCATTCAGATGAATTCAGACAATCTAAGCGAGCACTTGTGCATATTTGTTATGTTTCCTAAATGTTTGCTCTGTAACCTTTGCTGCTGCTTCAAATTTCTCCACCGTGGGATTCATAAAGTCTCGTCTGATGGCACCAAAATGTCCAAAACGACTCAGAATGTGTCCAAAATAACACAAATCGTATCAGATGTTACACCAGTTACAGCAAAATGCTTCAACGTTCGTCTAAAATCACTTAAATTGTGTCCAAAACGATGCAAAATTTGTACAACACGACTGGAAATTAGTCCAAAATGACACAAATCTGCTCAAATAATATAAATATATTTGGCCAAAATGCTTAAAAGCTAAAACACAATGACTTCAAACTCATCATGGAAGACTCTGTGCTGTATATTAAATATTGTTGTTTCCATCCAGATGACTTCAGACAATCTAAATGAGCACTTGTGTGTACTTTTAGTGTTTCCTAAACGTTTGCTGGGTAACCTTTGCTGCTGCAAACGCCCCTAATTTGACACTAATGAAGGATTATTGGATCGTGTCGTAGTTTCTTTCGTGTTTCTGTGGTGATCAGGAAGGAAAGCTGGACGTTAACACCAAAACACCGGCACCCAGTCAGAGACTCTGGTTTCAACAGCTCGTTTATTCGGTTATCTGCGGTTCCTCTGAGACTAGAAGTCGGTGATTCTGCGGAAGGAGCCGGTGGTGGCGCAGGTCGCCCCCCAGTCGCTGAACTTGCGGTACTCTCCGGGCCTCATGAAGTACTGGCGGCCGCGGTAGCTCGGGTGCTCGTACAGCGTCCAGTAGCCGTCCATCACGTTGCAGGAATAGATGTCGCGGCTGCGGAAGTGATCCTGCACGGACTCGCAGTCGTCGCTGAACTCCATCATCTGGCCCTGGAAGTTGGGCCGCTCGTAGATCCGGATGCGATAAGGCCCCTCGCTGGTCTGCAGGAGGAACAGAAGACGGAGCGTGAAGCTGCTGCTTCACTGAAACACCGGCTGCAGGTTCAGCCGGAGACCAGACGAGATGCTCAGATGTGCAGAAAACCACAAAACACTTCCTGCTCTTTACACAGAGAACAATCAAAGGTTCTTGTCTCATAAAATAGCAAATATTTCTTTTTTTTTACCCACAGAGCTCTAAAAAATGATCATCAACATCTATATTTTATATAGTTTGTGTTATTTATTGGAGGTTAGACATGAATGTAAAATATTTTATAAATATTCATGAGCTTCAACAAGAATTATTAATGAAATATTTCTGAAAATGATTTACCATTTAAACAGAATATTTATTCTCTTTTTTTTTGCCTTATGCCTACAAGAAATACAGAAAACAAAAGGCTCCTGAGGTGCTTTAACTGCATCATAAATAAATGATCTAGTATTTTATTTATTATCTGCACAAAGTCGCCTCGAGGGCTCCTTCCACAAACATTTTCGATTATATGTTTTATATTTTTGCCTTTTGCTCACAAAATAGATAGAAATGCAGAAAACAGAACAAAGCAGGAAAAGATTTTAGATTAAAGTATCTGATGAGCTCCTACAAGAAGTATTACAAATATAGTTGAGTTATTTCTGAAAAATGGATTTCATATATAATATAAAAACAGAGAAAAACACTAATTTTACTGTTTCAACAACAACATCAAACCGTTTCTGCTCATAAACCATCTGATCATTTTATTCTGACCCGAGCAGCTCCTACAAACTTTATTCAGGAAATGTTTATCTGATTTTTTTGCTTCTTTATTTTCTGTCTCGGGACGTTTATGTTGAATATTTCTACAACATGTTCATATTTAAAGGTCATATTCTGCATTGTGCACGAAGGAAACAAAAGGAAGCTCTCGTTTAGGTGGTTTAACCGTTAATATTTAATTTACTGCCGTCACGTAGCTGCCTGACGACTTCCGACTAATTATATTTATTACATATTCCTCAGGTTTTTCCTGACGAGCATCACAGCGCTGACCTGATGATAAACCGTGAACATGCACCACAAGTTCTGGACTCACGTAGGAGAAGGTTCTGCAGGAGCGGATGGTGTCGTTGTAGCCCATCCAGCGCTGGTAGTCGGGGTACTCTCCGCGGGTCAGAACGTACTGGTAGCCCGTGTAGTTGGGCTTCTCGTACAGAACCCAGCAGCCGCTCTCCACCTTGATGGAGTTGCAGCGGCTGAAGTGAGGATGCATGTCAGGGCAGTCGGTGTCGCACTCATAGTAGCGGCCCTGGAAGTTCCTGTCCTCATAGAAAATGATCTGAGAGCAGCAGAGGTCAGAGGTCAGAGGTCAGCGGAGGACGACGACGGGACCCGCGGGAGCCAGAAGACGCGACAACAGAACCTTCTTACCTTACTGTTCATCCTGCAAAGAGATCCGGAGCCAGTCGCCTCAGGAAAATGGTCTCACAGCGCAGCCGGAGAGCGGCGCTTTATAAACCTCAATCAAAGGGTTAGCAGATCCCACGTTAGCTGTTTGTTCAAAGAGCAGGATTTACCTCGCTGGCATCGCTGCCAACAGTCAGCAGAACGCCTGAATCATCACTGCAAAAGTCCCAGCAGGCAGATTTCTGACCCGCCGTGAACTCTTTATTGATATGGAGCCGTTTTATCCGCTAATCCGTCATCGGGCAGATTAATGTTTGCAGCAGAATGTCACACGTCATCACAAAGCCACAGCGAGTCTCACATTCAAACCGCAGCACAGCGTTAAAACCAGACATCCAGCAGGAGAGTCTTCATCCGCACAGGTAACTACCCCAGGTAATCTAGTTACTTTACCAGCCAGGATTACTGAAGACGTCGAAAATGGCCACAGAGAGACACAAAACAACTGCAGAGACTCACAAAAAGGACCACAAAGGCACAGAAAACTAC